CAGGGTCACAAGAGCCATTCAGAAGCTGGAAACCAGGAGGACCTTGCACAATACCTGGGGAGACCCCCTGGAAGCCATTCTTCCCCTGTCAGTACAGGCTGCGGTGGAGGAGCACAGGGAGTTCCACAGAGGTCTGCACCAAGATTCCTGCTGCCTGTGCTGACAGTTGGGGAGAGGATACTAAGTGGTTGTGGGGTCCCAATGCAATGGGAGACTGGAGAGAAAAAGCTACAAAAAATTGCTTTCGCCCCAGATGGCTCACTTGAGATGTTAGTAAGAACTGCCTCCTCATGTATTCTATAGCTGTGACGAGGAGGTGGCCAAAGAGAGAAAACGAAAAGAGACCGAGAAAAAGCAGCTGCTTTTGCTGCAGCACTAAGAGAAACAGACCCTAAGTCTGACTCTCGGGGCCCCAAGAAGAACTCGATGACTACACTCATCTGCTACTACTGCTAAAAGCCAGACCGTCTCAAGAGGAACTGCCCCAAGAAGCCCCCTGGGCCATGCCCTGACTGTAAAGGTGGCCACTGGAGATCGGTCTGCCCTCTGAAGCAGAGGCCCCGGAGCTCAGACCCATCCTACCAGTTAGTCCAACAGGAATGAGGGGGCCTAGGGCATACTCTGCCTTCTTCCTCTGGCCAGACTGTCATCTCCATGGAGGAGCCCCAGGTACAAGTCTCTCAGTCCTTCTTTTCAATCCTGGCCTTCCTTCCAGCTGTCACACCTCAGTGAAAGGAGTCACCGGGGAGGAGGTAATACGCCATTTTTCACAACCCTTAGGCTGTAACTACTTGTTAGATCTTTCTTGCATATCTCTGTCTTCCTGAGAAACCACTTTGAAGATACCACCATGTATTACAGCAGCCATTGATAGTTTCCTACTAATCTGTCCATAACTCTGTAATGTTTGTATTGTTCCTATGTTATTTTGTAAATGGGTGTATGTTTATTACTATGTGTTTCCTACAACAACCATTGAGAATACTCAATGATTATTCAAATGGTCACTCATGTATAGCTCTATTTATTTTCTTTAGAAACCACTTTGAAGATACCAAAGTATAGTAAAACAACCATTGATAATAACCTACACTTCTGTCTATAACTCACTATTATTTGTCTATTTGTTTTCCTGAGAAAGTATCTTATGATAACAGTATGTAAAACAACAACCAATGATAATTTCCTACCACTTTGTCTCTAATTCGGTAAGTGCCCCTATTACTATGTTACCCTTCTTTTACTCTTTAAAATAAAGCATCATACCACAGTGACATACGCATACCTATGCTTATAGCAGCACAATTTACAGTAGCTAAATCTTAGAAATGGCCCATATGTTCATCAAAAGATGAATGGATAAATAAAATGTGGCATTTATATGCAGTGGAGTACTACTCTGCCATAAAGGATAAACTTGAATCACTTGTAAGAAAACTGATGCACCTCAAGAACATAATCTTAAGGGAAATAAATTGGACACACAAGTTTAAATATTGCATTGTTTCTCTTATGTGAGAAACCCAAATGGTAAATAAGATGCATAATGGAGGACAGCTACTGGGAAGTAGGAAAAACATGTTCAAGTGGAAACAGGAAAAAAATGGGGGAGGAAGCAAAGGGAAAAGGAAAAAAAAAACAGAAACAAAACTCCTGTAAAGCCGAGCACGGTGATGCATACCTGTAATCCCAGCACTCAGGAGAATGAGGCAGGAGGATCATTGTGAGTTTGAGACCAGCCTGGGCTACAAAGTGAGCTCAAGGTTAGCCTGAGCTGCATAGCAAGACTTTGTCTCAAAACAAACAAAAAAACAAAAAACACTTTTGTAAATAAAGAGGGGCTGAAGGGAGGGGAAAGGAATGAGGAAAAAAAGAAGGAAGATATATCATGTATATATTCCCTGTGATGAATGTTATCACTGTGTATATGTAAAATGTACCAATTAAAAAAAAAAAGGAAAAAATGGAAACAAAGACTTTATAAATGGGGAGGAAAAGAGAGTTTAAAAGGAGAGGAGGGGAATGGGGAAGAAAAAGAATAAGGATAAATCATGTACAGGTACAAATTTCCTATGATGAATGTGATCAATATGTATGACAAACATGTGCTCTACTAATAAAAAAATAAAGTTTAAAAAAAAGAAAACTGGGAAGAAGGTATAGGAAAGTAGTTTTATAAAAAGTCACAGACTGAAGCAGGAATGAGAAATGGGCATCAGAGAGTATAATCAGACACAAGCTAAAAGACAAGCACTTCCAAGTGCAGTAGGATGAGTTATGAAATCTCAAAGGAATGTACTAGTAAATAAAGAGCAAAATAAAAGACAGTAGGAAATAGGAGACATCGTTTACACAATGGAAGGGGACAACGATGGAAGAGGGAAGGCATGGGAAAGGATGAATAGGAATCAAGATGTTATGTACATGTACTAATCCACACAAGAAATGCAAACACTGTGTACTGCAAACATGCACTAATAAAAATAAAAATGGAAAAAATTTAAAATCTCAAAAGAAAAAGAAATTGAAAAACAAAAAAACTAGAAAGACCTCTACAATGTGTATGAACCAGAACATTGTTAAAATATTAAATCAAAAGCAATCTACAGATTCAGTGCAATTCCTATCAAATCACCAGTGACATCCTTCATGGAAATTAAAAACAACACTCCTAAAATTTGTATGGAACCCCAAAAGGCCCCCAATAGCCAAAGCAATCCTGAGCAAAAATAATAAAACTAGAGGTGTCACATACCTGACTTTAAGACACATCACAAAGCCACAGGACCCAAATATCATCGGACTGGCCTGAAAACTAACACACAGACCAGTGGAACAGAACAGGGAATCCAGAAACAAATTCACATACTTACTGACAGGGCAAAAGTCCTTGATTTTGACAAAAGCATCAAGAAAATGTTCTTTTTTTAAATTGAAAAGCAAACAAAAAATATACATTGGACTATGGCCAGTGCAATGGCTGATACATTGTGTCAACTTTAAGTGTAGAACTTTAACTATGACTCAGCAGGGGGCCAGGGTCCTCACTTATTAAGATCCTCATTCTGTGCAAGAGGAATGCAGGGAGATGGTGTGAGTACTACACCCACCCTAGGGGGGGTGGGGTGGGGGGAGGGGTAGCCTGCTGGTAGGAAAAGAGGTTTGTTCCCCATTCCTTTTGCTCTTGATGTTTTTGCTGTCTTCTGCCCCTATGAACTATACACCATGCCACCGCCACCCTGCCTTGCTGATTATGGACTGAAATCTCCACGAACTGTGAGCTAAATAAACCTTTCCTTCCTTAATTTTGGGTGTCTAGTATCTTGTCTCAGCAACAAGAGAAAAGTAACCAAGACAGACAAACATTACTGAAAATGACAAGTAAGCAATGTAGTGGCTAAAACTAGGAAACGTTTACAAGAAAACACAGGGCAAAAGCTTTAGGATATTGGTTTCAGCAAAGATTTTTGGATATGTTCTGAAAACATAGGCAACAAATCCAAGAATTGACAATGGAAACTATACCAAACCAAAAAGCTTCTGTACGGCAAAGGAAATAATCAACAGAGTTAAGAGACAACCTATAGGATGAAGAAACTATTTGTAAGATATTCATCTAACAAGGGATTAATTTCCAGAATATATAAGGAACTCAAAGAACTCAACAGCAAAAAAATTCCAAACAATCCAACAAGGTAGCATTTCAACCCAGTAGAAAGGCTATTTTTTGAAAAAAAAAAAAAAAAAGCTGATGAGGATATTTGGCAAGGGGAACTCTCACATATTGTTGATTGAGAATGTAAGCTAGTAGCCAATGTGAAAGACAGGATGAAAGTTTCTCAAAAAAACTAGAAACAAGCTGGTCATGGTGGCACATGCCTGTAATCCCAGCACTCTGGGAATGTGAGGCAGGAGAACCACAGGTTTAAGTCCAGCCTGGGCAACTTAGCAAGATCCTTTTGATGTCTCAAAAGGCCTTGGGATACAGCCCACTGTGCAGATCCCAGTAGGGGAAAAAAAGAAAGAAAAGAAGAAACTTAGAGACATCTGCACTTGCATGTTATTGTAGCCCTGTTCCCAACAGCCAAGACATGGAGTCCACTCAGGTGTTCTTCTCCATAAGCATCCACGAAGAAACTGTGGTAAACATATACAGTGAAATATCCATAAAGAAAAATACAAACTCTGCCCTTTTTGAAGCAGCATGATGGAACCAGAGGCCATAGTGTAAAGTAAAATAGGCAGGAAGGAAAAAATACTTCCTGTCCTCACTTATCTATGGCTATAAAGGATAGAATAGTGGCTATCAGAGACTGGGAAGGGAGGGATGAAGAATGTGGTCCATGAGTGGAAGGTACAGCTGCACAGTGACTTTGGTGTTCCACAGTACTGCAAGGAAACAGTGGTTGACACAATTACCTGAGTATTTCAGAAAAGCTCAGAGAAGATTTTAAATGTTCTCAACACAAAGAAATAGTAGATGCCTAAGGTGACAGATAAGCCAGCCACCCCAATATGATCAACACACATTGTGTACATGTATGTACATTGTGTACATCATACTGTACCCCATAAACATGTGCAGTTACTATGTGTCAATTAGATTTGGGAACATTTCTTAAGAAAGTACTTACACAATTATAATTAAAGCCAATTCTGAGCACAATATAAACAATGAGGGAGAATATCTAGATCCTGGTGAGGAGACAGAGGATCCTGGCTCAGATAAACCCTTACCTTCTGTGTAGGCAATCATAATATTTAAAAAACTGCAATTAAGCTAAAACTGAAAAGTAAGCTGAGAACCAGCCACAGAGAAGTGTGGCACTGAACAAGGCCACAAACACCAGACAAACAGCTGGAACTGGGCAAGGAGGAACAGGTAGGCCATGTTCTGGTGGCACCACACAACATGCCACTTCTGCCACATGCTAGAACCCAGGATCACTTCACTATGACCAACAGCCAGGGAAGAGGTCTGGGAGTGCCGCCCTCCGAACCTGAACCAGCATATGGCAGATGTCCACGTGACCAGCCTCCGCCGCAGCGTGCAGTGGGGAGCGCTTATTCTGGTGCTCCATTTTGAAGTTGGGGTCGATTCCATCCACTGTGAACAAACATGGTTTTACTAATCTTGTCAAGTGCAGTTCAGATGCTCACTGTGGCTGGCAGTGCCTACACAGTCAGCCACCCTGAGATAAGCAGGCAGCTCTAGGGGCATGCCACACCCCACCACATCACTGTGACCCATATGGTAGACAAGCGAGACCCCACTTCAATTCACGAGACAACACACTTGCTCCTTCATGGCCCTTCCTGAAGGTCCTTGAGCGCTCCTGGTCGCAGCCGCCTCCACACCTGTGAGGACACTGACAAAGGCAGGCTGAGCTATGAGGACAGATGCCCCTGGGGAGCAGAAGTGAGGCCCCAAGACAAGCCCCCTGAGTGTGTGTCTGCACATTTAGCCAAGAGACCAACTATGTACTGGTGATGTGACTCAACACTGTATGAAACCTGAGGGAAGTGAGTGAAGTTGCTATTTTGATCAAAATTAAAGAAACCTCTCTTTTTAGATCAAACTTCAGTTTCTTTCATGACTTGCCATCAGGCAAAGAGCTCTTCAACCACATTTTTCAACCCCAAGAAGATAAACTTCAGAGCGATCAAGCCCAGAGCTGGGAGGGTCCACCTGTCAGGAAGCTCAGGCCAAGAACACCCCTGGGACCACAGTGGCACAGCAGGCACACAGTGCTCCCCACCAGCAGAGAGCACTGGCTCCTTCCTCACCACAGGTCACAATAGGGCCCCACCACACTGTTGCACCTTTCCCAGATCTGTTTCTGTTTGCCTTATAATCACCTACTTAATTCCCTTTTTAAATTAGGAATGCACAGAGTATTTCTAGTGCCATGAGCAGGTGAATATGAGCATCACAAACAACATGAACAGCAGTGGGCACCTCTTTTTATTATCAGAGGAACCAGAGACTTCTGAACAGAAAATACAAGATCAGGCTCGTGAGAAAGGGGCATTGCGGAGGCTCTGCTTGTCCCGCCACAGACTCACCCAGCATCAGAAGCACCTTCTGCAGCTCACCCTGCCTGGCCGAGAAGTACAGCTGCTTCGGGTGGAAGCGAAGCTTCTTGGGTCTGTGGAGAAGCAGAGGACAGCAGTCAGCACAGGCCTGGGCCAGGCCTCATCCCACTGGGGAACCAAAGTATGTGGCAGGGATCCCTGTCAGTTCCTCTAGTCAAGCACGCCAGGCCCACCAGTCTTATAGCACCTCACAGGGAGTAAAACCAGCCACTGTCTTAGCCACAGCATGAGAATGCTGCACCCTACAAGGTCACCCCATGATGTGACAACAGGACCCAGACCCATAGGGAGCCATCAACCCACACTTTACACATCAACAAGGCTGCACCTGCAGCTCAGTCTCGCATGGGTCATGCGCTGTCACTGAGCTGCACAGCCAGCCTCCAGCAGTGAGGAAGAGCCTAGGCAGAGTAGGGATGTGGCACATCTGCTCTGAAACCTTAATAACTAAGGTGACAGCCAGGGCATGGTCAGTAGGCAGGGACGGTGGCCATCAATGGACAGAACAGTCCTAAGGACAGGCTCAGAGACCAGGCTGGAGAAAGCCACAGAAAGAGGTTATGTACCAGGAAGGTCAGGACAGGAGTTAGGAATACCAGAATTTTTTGTTAGGCAGAAGAGTACATGTCACTCTTTCCCTGGAAGAAGGCGGGCTTGGTGCAATGGTCCCCTCAGCCTCCCTAAGGTAGGTGAGGCTGTCCTAGGATGGGCCCAGAGCTGCAGAGATCCCACCTCCACCCTCACACAGCAATGTCTGCATGAGGGTCTGCAGGTGGCTCACCCAGGCATGTCTTCAAAGCTCACATGACTGTCCCCGCTCAGCATGACAAGGAAGACCAAACTTACAATTACCTCCCCAAACAGTGTAAAGACTTGTTCTGACCAACAGTGTTATTCTAAGGATGAAATGCACACGTGGCTTCAGGACAGAACACAGGCCTTCAGCCACCTCTAAAATGCAGACCAACTCTTACTTTTCTGAGTCCAGAGCAATCAGAGCACTCTCCAAGGTTTCCTTCCCGGGTCCCTGGGAAAGGCCAGAGGTCTGCCTCACAAGCCCAGCCGGCCCTGTGGCATCAAAGCCCTCAGGCACCTGGGGAGCTGTACTCTGTGGCTTGTCGTCCTCGGAGAGCGGGGCTGCAGCAGTGCTTGAGGAGAGGAAATCATTGAAACGTTGAGTTTTGGCATTGGAAAAAGCTCCCTTCTCATGGAAACCAATGAAAACACAGAACAACTTGCTTCAACCCATCTCTCACTCGGCTTCTTAAGGGAAGACAATGGAAAATCAAATGACTACTAGTTTGGTCCCAGAGGAAGTGCCCAGAATTTAGAACCCTGTTCCCTGAGACCCCTAGAACTATAATCCAGACAGAGTTCAATGATTACTATGAAGGAACTGAAACACTCTAGGCCTTAGTTTTAAGGTCTGCACAATCACCATCCTTTACATGACCTTCACTCTAGTCTTAATTTCTCTTCTAGCACTGATATTCACTAAGCTTGGTCTTCTCTGTTGAGTCACTCATAAGTTTTGCTGCCATTCTCAAAGGTTCTCTGCTTCATCCCCTTCCTAGCAGGATTTGGCTGGTGGATGCTGATTACTGTGTTTCTCCTATTCTCTTGCTGACCCGGCAACTCTATGTTTTTAGCTGCTTCTGCTGGATTCTCTCAGGAAGGCAAGTGCATGTGTTTGTGTGAGTACTTCTAACTCTTCTGGATTGTGTTTCCTGCCTTTAGCAACAGCCAAAGACCCTGGTGCCAGAGGCACGGTAGGAACAGCTTGAAGCAGCTGACAGGTGCTTTTGTGCAACAGCCACCTGTGGTAACTGGGCTACTAACAAAACATTATAAAATCATCCCAATTAGGCTAGCATGAAAATTGGTTCAAAACAGGCGAATGAACCTGCAAAACCAAATTGAAAGAGACCCATGTAAAGCTGGGTGTGGTGGTACACACCTGTAATCCCAGACTCGGGAGGCTGAGGCAGGAGGATCACTGTGATTTCCAGGCCAGCCTTGGCTACACAGTAAACCCTGAACTGTATAGTGAGACCCTGTCTCAAACTGCCCCCCACAGAGACAGACCCATGTATAAACAGCAATAAATGAACATCAGTGCTTCTGTTCATGTGTGTGTGTATACATGCACATATATGAGTACACACGTGTGCGATACTTGAGACTAAACCAGGGCCTTTGCTACATCCCCATCCCTTTTATTTTTTTGTTTTGAGATAGGGTCTTGCTAACTTAGCTAGGCTGGGCTCAAATCTGCAATCCTCCTGCCTCAGCCTCATAAGTAGCTGAGGTTACAGGTGTGTACCACTACACTCAGCTAGTGTTTAGTAAATGTGAGAAGTTACAAGCATCAGAGTTAGCTAAGACTTCTGGATAAAGCAGCGGAAACCAGTAACAACTGGTTGATACATTTTCAGAGACACCAAGTGGAAGCTCAGCCAGAGCCACATGAGCAGGTACCTGCCAGTGGTCGTGTCAGCCCTGCCCTCGGCAACCAAGCTCTTCTCCTGTCCAGGGGCAGGCATCACCGTGGAGGTGGTGTCTGCTTTTGCTATGGTCACCTCTTTGGCCTTGGAGGTATCCTCCCCACAGTGGGGACAGTAGCTGGCATTGTTGACTCGAGAGGCACAGTCCTTGTGGAAACGGTGAGAGATGCTGCTCTCAGGCTGACACTCCATAAAATTACCCTGGAAACAGAAAGGCAAAAATCAATTTCAAAAACGGGGGCTAATATTCAGAAAAATAAACAAAGCTCAACTGAGCCAGGTGAGCTTAGCAAGTGAGCAAGCAAAGCAGCCAGGGCCCGGTGCTGGCCCACTCTGCAGCTACCAAGGAACAGGAATGGTATCTACAAAGAGCTCCCTCAACTCCACAGCTTACAGGTAGCTGAGGCCAGCAGCAGTCACCTCCTTGTCCACCTGCCACCCACAACCAAGAAGACTGAGTCCTTGCTGTCTGGCCATTCAAACAGAGCAAGAAGGTACATAAGAAGTCCTGGTCCAGATAGGACCACTGGGTAGGACCCTGTTCCATAAGGTAGATGGGTCAGACAGGACAAAAGTCTTGAATCAGGGTAAAGGGCTCATTCCTAGTATTTGAGTGAGCACAGGCAGGTGGGCACCAGATAACAGACAGAGACAAGAGACGCAGAGAAGCACCTCTCTTTCTTATGGGACGCACAAAAAGGGTGTCTGGAGAGAGGGGAAGGCACAAGGTGTGAAGCTCAAAGTCAAGCCTCTAATAGAAGCTCCTGGCTCAGGTCACAAACGGGTAGCAGGGTGTCTGTAGGCGCCTGTGGCTGTGGGTGAAGGTTAGTATAGAGCTCTACTTGGGCTCCATAGGAGGAGCCTATTGCAGGTGAGTACAGATGTCTGATTAAGGTTAGAGCTGTGTCCCTCTTCTGCATTCAGACAAGAAGGGGTTCACAGGCACTGCAAGGGGAGCCAAGGGCACAGTCACATAGGAGGAGCACAGGCACATGTCCAGGGTGAGAAAGCTCAAGGCGTGGAGAGGGTTTGGGAAGCACAGGAACCTCCTCACGTGGGACCCAGGCCTGGGATGAATTGCCTGGCAGTTCAGGCCTCTGCAGAGGACACAGGCCCAAGAGGTCCATGGTAGCTGGGCTCTTACCGCTGTGCAGAAGTAGCCGCAGCCAGGACAGCACTGGTGTTTCACCATGCGGCCCCGATGGTCCTCACACAGCACCAAGAGCGGCGCCTTATTGGACGGGCGCATCAGCTCGTACTTGACCACGCTGTTTGTGCACCGGCCCAACTGCAATCAGACAAGAGCAGGGTCAGTGATAGAGCCATGAGGACACAGCTTTCCGACCCATGGGCTCTAGGACAGGCCCGACATGGGGAGGTGCCCAACAATGAGCCTGGACTTGAGAGAGTTTGGTATACTTCTGTACACCTGCCAGCACCAAGAACCCAAAGAGAAGTCACTGTCTTCTGTACACCCGTGAAGATAGCAGCCAGGTGATCACATTCAGAGGAACAGAAGCTTAACCTGGACAAAAATGGAGGAAACCATCAAGGAGACAGGAAGGCTGGGCTGGGTGTCAAAGAACAATGGCTGTATACCAGGCAGGACAGCCTAGGCTATCAGAGACAACTGAGGGGAGGGTGTAGAGAACCCCCCACCCCTACCCTGAGTAGTCTAAGGCAGCTGGTGCACCCAGGGTCCCAGCTAAGATGCAGGAAACAGAAAGCAGCCAAGTCTCTTCAGAGATGAGTCTGCTTCTTTAGAGTTGGGTCTGCTTCAGAGACGAGGGCCCTAGAAGTCCTAAGAGGACCAAGATTTGAGGACAGTCATGCTGGAGCATGACTGCTCCAGGGAAAAGACATCTGAGATATGTCACAGTGTGGTGTGCTGGGCAAAGGGGGATGCTGAGTAGGCAGAGGACCTTGGTTCACTGTGCAAAGCCATCTGACAGCCAGTAAGAAACAAAAAATTAAGCCACTAGGAACAAGCAAAGAATGGCAAGGGAATTCACAAAAGAACTATTACAAATGCCCCCTAAACAAATAACTACATGCTTGAACACTCTGAATCAAGGAAATTGACATAAACAGACTCTGGGACTCTTCTATTTTACTGTACAAACACTATCCTTTCTGTGGCTGTGAGTGGCTTGGGCGGTATACAGGACCTGCCAGACTAACAAGGGGCGACACCAATACCCACCCAGGCTATATGAGAATCATCCAAAAAGTTTTTTGCTTATTTTTTTTAACGACACCTTGGACATCACCCCATTATCTACAGAACAAAAATTAAAAGGAAGAGAACTGGGCATGCATGTCCAAGAAAGGTGTACTCCCTCCCTAACACAACCAAATGGTTCTGCTCTGCACCCTTGGTCAAGACCTGAACGCAGGTCAATGAATGCAGATCATTCACAGTAACTGATTTGTAAAAATGTTTACAACAGACTAACAGAAAAAACAAGTTATCTGAAGCAAGACATGTACTGGGGTACATACACAGGAAAGTCTGCAAATATGTACAAAAATACAATGACCAGTTACCTCAAAGTTGGAATAGGGGTAATTTATACTTCCTTCTTCAGCCATGTAGTTAGTGTCTGAATTTTACAGTGAGCATGCATTATTTATATAAACAGTGAAACCCAGTTAGGGTTGGAAATGAGAGAGAAAACAGAAACAACTAATAAACAAGGGTAAAAAACATGTCAGCACCCATGACAGCCCCAAAGAAATTTCACAGAAAGGAGAACAGAGGACAGACAGGAATACGTGGTACAGGAGGAGCGTGAAGGAAGCCCATATAGGAGAGGAGCCACACACATCCACACAAGCCAGAAAGCAAGGAGACTTAATGGGCCTGCTGGCAAAATACTGGCCTGCCTTGCTCAGGGACCACATACAGGACCTAGCAAACAGAAGAGCTAGAGCTCACTCCAGAGGGAGAGGCAGGGTTGGCTTGTGAGGAGTGGATAAGGCAAACTCAACTGACTGTATATGCCAGGCCCAACCCTTCAATACATTCATCACTGCAAAGGTCTTCCTAATAGCTTCAGAGCGTCTCACTGTTTTATTAAACATTCTAATAAGAAAAGTTCCAAGAACAGACAAAATACAATGAGACCACATCTAATCCTAATTTCAAAACTAAACAATATTCTCCATTTTCATTTGCACTGTCCCCAATAACCTTTTTGTTAGGGAGAGATGACCTGACGTACTTATGGGTTATTTTACCTGTAAATAATTCAGAGTGTATTGTTAACATAACCCTCAGACCATCCTCATACCCAACAAAAGCAATAGTAATTCCTCAGAGCACCCAACACCCAGGGCTCAAAGATTCTCTGCATTGATTTACTAGGACAAAAACACATAGCACATAGCACCTGGCCTGTCTCTTGTCATCTGCAGAGCACCCCCTTCCTTTTGTTACGGTTTAGATCTAAAATGTCCTTCCAAGCTTCCTGTGCGTAGAAGGTGATGTGATTATTGGGTGCCAGAGCAGACACGTCCATTGATAGGTTCAGTGGCTCCTGTATTGTTAGGAGGTGAGGTCTGGTGAAAGGGGTAGGTTACTGGGATTATGGGCTGGAAGTGTGTGTTCTTGTTCCTGGATTCTCTTTTCTTCCTTTCTCTTTGCTTCCTGGCTGCCACCAACTGAGCAGCATTCCTCCATTAGACCCTTCCACCATGCTATTTCTGCCTTGGAGCCAGCCAAATAGGGACTAAAATTTCCAAAATAAACCTCTCCTCCTCTAAGTTGCAGATGTTAGGTGCACTGTCCAAGTGACAAGAAAGTGATTAATATAAAAAGTGTCAGGAGTGGGGTCAATGTTGTGACTATACTTCATCAGGTGGTTCACAAGCCTCTGGAATTGGTTTGCAGGATGAATTTGGAAAAGTTTGGAGAAGCAGGCTACAGAAGCCGTAGAATGTAAGCAGTATTCGGTGTGTGATACTGGTGGGTGCTCTGAAGATCAGAATGCTAATAAAAATGCAAACAGTAAAGGTGAGGTTTGTGAGGTTTGAGTCAGAAATGAAGACCCTACCAGAAGCTGGACTAGAAGCCATGTGTGTTTCATTTTGGTAAAGAATTTGTTTTGTCCATGTCCTAAGACTTTGGGTGAGGCGGCATTAAAAGGTGGTGAGTTAACTAATGTGGCAGAGGACAGTAGGTAGCTCACTGTTCAGGCTGTGGCATGGGTACTGCTGGATACTTTTAGCCAGACTTACAATGAGAATCAGGAGAAAAAATGCAAAGCCTAAATGTACAAAAGTTGTATAGCTTGGTCAGAAAAGCAGCACCTATGAAGTTGGAGACAAAGAGGGTATGGTTGCTGAAAAGATTAGTACTAAAAAGAAGCCAAGTACTCTGCGTCAGGTTACAAGGAAAGATGCCTTGAAGGTATCTCAGGAAAGGGCCAGACTCTCATCCATGGCAGACTCAAGGGAGTAAAAGGGTAAACTCCTTTCATTGAATTTGCATTAAGAAAAAGAGCCCCAGGGTGCCCTGCTCATATAGAGTCACCCAGGGAAAAGCAGCCTGGAGTTTAACCATCTAGGCACTCAGAGGCCTTGGCAGCAGTGGTCCCAGGGGACCACGCTACTGTATAGGTGGCAATGGCTTTCAGGCAAGCCAAATGTAGGAGTGGTGGGGTCATAGAGCTTCACCTAGGTTTCAAACAAAGGCCTAGAAGGTCAGGCAAGGAGGCCCTAACAGGGTATTGTGTGAATGTGTGTGAATTAAGTCTGGTTCAGTGCAGACCTCAGGAGGCTGGAGACACCAAAAACATGAAATGTTTGCTGAAGAAAGCTGCAAGCAGTGAACAAAGCCAATCCAAGAGAAAGGCCATGTGGGCTGCAACAAGCAAGGTCATAGAGGCAGGGCTGTCCAAGCCCTTTGGAGCTCACATCTCATCAAAACCTACTCTGAGCTATGGGATTTAATGTTTGCCTGCTGAATTTTGTTCTTGCTTTAGCCCAATTCCCTTCTATTCCCCTATTTTTTCCTTTTGGAATGGGAATGTTTACTCTGCATCGTTATAGTTGGAAGTATTTAATGTTCATTTTACAGGGGCTCACAGCTAAAATTTTGCCGTGAGTCTTGGGAGACTTTGGTCTTGGACTTCAGTAATATTGAATACTTAGGCTCTTAAAACTCTTTAAAAATGGACTAAATGCATTTTGCACAATGAGATGAACATAAGCCTCTTAGGGATCAGGGACTGAATGTTATAATTTGGAACTGAAATACCACTCAAAGGTTTCATGTGTGCAGAGGTGGGGCTTTTAATAGATGATTGGATCATGAGCATAGTATCCTCATCAGAGGCTTCATCCATGGATGAGTAACGGGGTTCATGTCCTGTTACAGGTGGGGCCTAGTAGGAGGGGTTGGTCACTGGGGTATGGACCAAAAGGCTATGTTCTTGTTCCTGCTTTCTCCCTTCCTCCTCTCTCTCTGTTTTAGTTGCAAGTATGAGGTATTTTGCCTCAGTCAACAGGGAAGCTGACTAAGACACCTTTGTTCCCATTCATACCATTCACCACTGAATAACCTGAGAAATGCTGCAGAGTCTCACTTCTGACCAGCAAGGTTCCCTTTCACATGTTCAGTGTCTAAGCACCTGAAATGTGGCAGTGAAGTCTAGATTTAGGCTGTTATGGGTCCTTCTCCAGGCCAAAACAGAAGACTCTGAGACTGGCCATGACTCTGCTGGCTTACCACAATTCATTCCAGCCACTATGAGCCACAACCCAGGCATGCCCACAGGCAAGGATCCTTCTCCTGTACCAAGCTACCTGAGCAGGTACAGCCAAACACAGTAACAATGGGCAAGAGCAAGACAGCCTACACCAATGCATCTAACAGATCTCTTGCTGAGAAAAGAAGATCCAACACAGTATTCACCTATAGCGAGCTAAAACAAAAGATGAAGACTAAGAATGAAACTGAAGACTAAGATGAAGACTAAGACTAAGAATGGTTGAAGTCAGAATGAGCTGGAGCACAGAGATGGTGCCAAGAGAATAAATTTGTGCAAGAAACACCACAACCAACATGGTCAGGTACAAGGTTATGGCAACTCTGGGGTTGGAACAAGGGGACAGGGAACATGAACTGAGACAAAATATTTTCAGAATGCAAAGGCTCAAGACAGTTTTCTCCTAAGCCACCTTTCTTGAGAAGGGACTGAAGGTACTGTCCACCCGACTCCCCAAGATGAGAATGAGCCCAAAGTATGTAGCCTAGGAAGAGAGACAGACAAGATGTGTCTGAAG